AGCATTAAATTTCAATTCGGAAAATCGAAGTTTAAAAAAAAGTTTAAATCAATTTCCAAAAGTAGGCAGTCAGCTTAACCTCAAACATACACCTATTTCAGAAAACGTTGACGGTGCCACATCTAAAATGGGCGATCTCAGATTAAACAGAATTTTTGTGCTTGAATGTTTTCTGGCTACAATACAAAAAATAACTTTTCTAACTCGAAGCTCATGCTTCATATTCCAATCTAAAAGGTGACTACGTTGTTCGGCTGTCAATATATTACGTTTTGCAGCGTGCTACTTGGTCTCAGATTTCAGAGACCGACAACGTTTGTTGAAATAGGTGTATACAGCTGGTGTATACTCATATAGACATTACGGTAACAAACTTGTGGCAATAGAGTGCGCGCACTCTAAACCCGTGCACAATAATTAGTACTAATTAGTATTATTTCATACAGAATCCTTTGCGGTTTTCTATTGTTTAGTTATCACTATTTAGTGCTAAAAGTTAGTATTTGTTTCACGGGTTTAGTTCGTGCACTCTACTGCATGTGCTCTAGATGCTATTCACTCCCAAACCTGTCTTTAAGAGTACTCGACTTTCTAAATATTAATAAGTATGTATTATTTATATCCTTAATTATTCGTTTGCCTTAATTAAGCTGTTCTTTTTTTAATCAAGTGATTTTCATAAACCCTTGAAATACATTTTATAGCGTATTTAGTACAGTATTACACTCGAATTCTTTTGTTTTCTATTGTGATAATCCAAGCTCTAATTAAAGCTATCTTAAATTATACTCCCTTTTTGCTTCGAAAAAGAGTTCAAAACAAGTGAGCTTAAACGTGTGCAACTTACTGTAGATTGATGGAACACAGCGGTCTCAAGACAAAGGCGCCAACGTTGGCGCCAACACGTTCTTTGCGCATGCGCATGCGCATTCATCTGTCCATTGCTTAAGGCATTACACATGACAATTAGAAAACATAGACGTAATCAGGTTGTGTTGCCTTGAGGGTCGCCAGTCTGGATCATAAACTGTTTTATAATGGGGTGGAATATGTGGTTGTTATAGTAACCATTCTTGCAGTGTGTTGTCAGATCCTAATTTGTACAGTAGGAACTTGCTCCGACGAAGGACTAACGTCCGAAACGTCAGTTTCACAAAGCTTTTTACGATGATCCAATTTATCTACAAGTAATTCCTACTGTTTTATTCAGAAACACCACGCTAGTACTCTACTAGTTATCACCACACCTAATTAGTACACTTTGTTTCATGAGTTAATGAAAACCACACTGCTAACTAGATGTGTCCTGAAAATATCACCAACTATCAATAATTATAAACTCCTAGAAGTATCTTAGACCTATCTTAATAAGTTCAGAGAATTTATATAGTGTTTCATGTTGGTACAGTTCGCATGCAGTATACTTCAATGCTCGATCCTGAAGAAAATATATTACATATATTGCAATAAGAGAAGAACTGTTATCCAATCCTACCACGAAAAAGGCATCTGATTCAATCAAAATGAGCCAATGGTTTTGGCGTGGTAGATGATTGCAAGAAATGGCGGTGCCTTTATAGACTTACCATCTGGTTACGCGACCTCGGTTAAAAAAAACTTGATTGCCGAACTATAAAAGTGATCTGAGCAATTAGGTTGCGTATCAGTACACAATGTATCCTGAAGTTTGAGGAGTTCGTTATCACTTCCAAGAAAGAAGGCCAAGAACGAGCTTCGCTTCTCTAACAAACTTCCCTGTCCAGTCTGCACCATAGCTTTTTATAAGCCAAGAAAACTGCCATGGAAAACTCAACCTTTGGTAGTAGATTGGAGAATTATACAGCCCTGTGCTCGCCATACACTGATCCAAACTGGTCGCGAGGACTTAAGGGAGGAACATATGTTCTGATAATGTTGGTATCAGTGATAGGGAACTCTTTAGTGATCTACATCATATCAAGTGCACCATCAATGCGCACAACAACCAACTATCTTATAGCCAACTTAGCAGTAGCCGACCTGTTTATTACATRCGTCAGTATGCCTGTCGCCGCTATGGTCAACATTACTGGCTTCAATAGGTTTCGCTCTGTCGTTATAGCAGTCATAGTGTGTAAGATCAACCCTCTTATACATGGGTCGTCTATGGAAAGCGCAATCTTCAGCTTGGTTGCCATTTCCTTTGATCGTCTATTCGCCATTGTCACGCCTTTCAAAAAAGTCATCACCTTCTACCGTGTTAAGATCATTCTTTTTTGCATCTGGTTTTTTTGTTTGCTGACGCTCTCCCCTCTTCTTTACGTCGTCAAATTCGGGTTTAAAGATAACTACTACTATTGCCACGAACGTTGGCCGGAATCATTCGATCAAGAACAAGCAGCAAGAGCCTACACCGTTATCCTTTTTCTCTTGTTCTATGCTATTCCACTGTTAATAATGGCTGTCGTTTATCCTATTATCATCCACAAGCTCTGGGGCCGAGGCAAGGGAATCATGGAGCGTCTTCCAGCGTACGTACAACTTAAGCGCAGGACAAATAGGAAAGTACTCAAGATGTTGATGACGGTTGCCATTACATTTGCGCTTTGCTGGCTGACACTTCACGTTCGAATGTTCTTAGGTTTCTATGGGTCTACCAATAATATTCCATGCACATTAAAGCCCCATCTTTATTTCCTGGCCTTTTCAATCGCGCACTCTAATTCTGCCATCACACCTTTGATTTATTACTTCTTTAACGTGACGTTTAGAAACCAGTTCCAGAAAGTCTTTTACAAGCTATTTCCAAGATTGTCGTATGATAATTCAAATGCAACTCAATATATCTCACTAGTTCGTTTTCGAGCAGACGCCAAAGCAAGCCGGCAGGATGCTCTTGCAGACAATGATTTGAAGACCAAACTCTGATAGGCCGAGGAAAGTAAGGTTCACAGTAATCGCTGTAGGAGAATCAACGTTCATTGTAATTGGGTTTTGCACCTGTCTCTATATACTAATGATGCAAGATTATATTACTCAATTTAAAAATTAAGAAATATTGCGATGATTGTGAAAAGAAAAACTTAAAACACAATTGAAATCATACGACGTGACACTTTCGCTGGGGAAAACTCCCTCTGCAAACGACTCAGCTGTATTTCTTCGTAAGTTACCGATTGAATATATTAAATGATTGAAAAATATATAGGAATGGAAAAAAGTGGGCGCGACTTGAGCTCTATCGAGTGGGAAGATTTCGAGGTAGGTGAAGATTGAAAGCGATGTTTTACTGATCGAAGGTGCTCTGAAGATAAATAAATATTTAAAGTCAATTAAACTCATTATCAGCCAATCCTAAGGGACTGATTGTCGACAATACGCGATTGCCGCCGAGGTATTATCGATTGGCAATGTAGGTGTCTATAAAGACAAATCATCGATATAGATGTCGAGGAATAATTGATTGGCAATGTAGGAGTCTATATAGACACAAATTATCGATATGGTCGAGGGATTATCGATTGGCAATGTAGGAGTCTATAGGCACAAATTATCGATATGGTCGAGGGATTATCGATTGGCAATGCAGGAGTCTATAGAGACAAATTATCGATATGGTCGAGGGATTATCGATTGGCAATGTAGGAGTCTATAGGCACAAATTATCGATATGGTCGAGGGATTATTGATTGGCAATGTAGGAGTCTATAGGCACAAATTATCGATATGGTGTTCATTGTATAAGAAGAATTTTAAAATGCGAAAAAATCTTGAAAGCTCCACGGATAATAAGAAATTATGGGAGGGGGAAGGTTTGAAATGCGCAGTTATTAATTATTAATGGTAATTAAACAATCCAATTCTGTCTTTAATCATACTCGTGATGAACAAATTGAACTCCCTCTATTACGGTTGTGCAATTTTGTTAATTACTTGTATTATCGATCAATCTTTATTTTTAGTACCAAAATTTCAATATTACATATACTAAACAACAAAAATACAGAAAATTGGTACAAGCCAGCTGTAATAGCCAT